TTTGCTGAGTTCCAGGTCGGCCATGACACGCGTCCGCGGGGAAAGAAGTTCAGCGCAGTGGGAATGGATGGGAGGGAGGGATCGGATGCCAGATGCGGCGCGAGCGCGCCTAGCTTATCCATCTCGCTCTCTCTTTCCTCCCTCCCTCCATTTCCTTCCGACCTTCCCTGTCTTTCTGCCCTCTCTCTCTCCTCCCTCCCACCACCCGCCCTTCCCTCCCCTCCCTCCTTCCCCCTCCGCTCCTCCAGAGTGCCGTCAGGGAGTGACGAAATAAACACAACGACCAGAAGGAAACACTACCAGAGCAAAAGTGAAACAAATGAAACGAGACCGCGTGCACCTAGATCGAACTGACGCTAGGACCATCACCGTGATCTGCGTCCATGCCGTTGTCATTGAGGGTTCCCGCCCGAGGAGTTGCACTGGGTTCACTGACTACGTCGCTTTGCGTCGGCGTCACTGCGCCGCGCAAGGAGTCGCCCTTGGCCCTCCCCGACACCTTTCGGCGCAACCAAATGTGGCAGTGGCCGAGTGGGGCATGGCAGAAAGGCAGAGAGACATAACTTGAGGAATGCGAAAGATAATATAATCAGGAGGACGAAGAGCAGCAGGATGCGTAGTAGGGGAATGAAGAGGAGAACGAGGATGAAACGTGGATGAGGACGAATAGGACAATGAAATAATCAAATCATCATATGCACCCAGCCGCTCCTGGAGTCCACCTGCAAACATAATGGTGCACAAGCAACGCTATGGGTATGTTTGGCGGGTCCGATGGTCAAGGCAATAACGAGCAGCTGAGACTCCGTGACCATGGCCACGACAAGACGTCATACTAATCAAGCTAGAAGCCTGCGGTCGGGCCCATATGGCGGTGACGAAGCATGCCAACATCCAAGCCACCACCTTCATGACTGGTCACCCACAACGGCGCCCAACCAACCCATCATTCAAAACCTACTCTTAACATAGACTTCGGAGCCGGTAAATTGATGCAAACGCTGTTCGGGGAACCATCCATGACGACCTCCGAAACACCTCAAAATCCACCAACACCCCTTTCAAGAGGGGTGCCGGGTCAAAAGAGAAGTGCCACCACGACGGGCCAACCGCTTCTTACATCTGCCACCCCGAGGAAGGCGCGATTTGGATCTGGCGCCCCCGAGGGAAAGCCGAGCGAGATATTGATGCTAAAACCTCATTCAGAGTCCGCCGACCGCCGCTGGCCAGGGGTGAGAGGGCGTGCGGCATTTGCATTTCTGGCTGTTCCCCTCCCCCTTTCCCCTCCCTGTGGGTCCACTTGCTTTGCAGGGGGTGGGGGTCTGGGCTTTCTGGCGCGTCCCCCGTGTGCTCCGGACCTCCACTCCCGCCAGAACCATCGCGCGCTTCGCGCGCGCTCAAGCTCTAATCGATGGCTGCGCGACTCGATTTTCGATCGTGTCGCACGTTCTGCGTCTCGAGACAGTTACCGCGCGTCCATTGACTTCCTACCCTGGAGGAGGAGGAGGACCAGTGTAATGACGCATCAACGATGCTGCAAAAACGCCCTCCCTACAATTCCCCTCTTCAAATGTCCCTGCAACATGCTACATCACTGCGGAAGTGCCCCGTTGGAAGACAGTAGTCTGAGAATCTCCGATCGTGCAGATGCACCGCTCCTGGGACTTCAGCGGCGCGAATCCACGGGGTGCCCTTGCGCATCTCAGCCTTGGCGAACGCCTTAGCACCATTCCTGGGGTACCCAGCTTCGGGCATGCCTTTGGCCCTGGTGCGGAGCCCGCGGGGCACCGCGCATCTCATCGTCAAGGCAGATCGGCGCTGCTGCTGCGCCCTGGCGATCCTGAATCGTGCCAGAACGCCCTTCTTGGGACTTCAGCACTTCGAGTCAACGGGACCGTTGCACCCTGACAATCCTAAATCGTGCCAGAACCCTATTCCTGGGACGTCAACCATGAGAACCCGTTCAATGGTTGAGAATTCTGCAGTCAACCCGTATAATTAGGACGCATGACCAGGATGCAAGGGCCTTGGAGGGCTATGCACTTTGCGAGCGGGGCGCGGCCAGCGAAAGCGGCCAAGAATGAGCCGAACCTTGGAGAGCTTCTCATCCTTACTATACGGGTTGACTGTAACATGAATCTGAGCGGCGCTAAGGCGAGAACCACATTTTTAAGAGGAACTGCCCTCCATCCATGAAATTCCTGGAAACATTCACGACGAATCTGCGCGGCGCTACGGCGAGAACCAGATTCGGAAAACAATCCGCTCTCGATCCCTGAAGCTCTGGCAATCACACTTAGGACGAATGTGTTCGGCATCAATGCGAAACCTGCATTTTGAAAACGAACCACCCTCTATCCGTGAAGCTCTTGCACATTAAAAACGGAAGTGCACGGTGCTAAAAACGAGAACCCCATTTCGAAAAGGAACCGCCATCCGTCCGTGAAGCTCATGCACACATTCGCGACGAATCTGCGCGGCGCTGCGGCGGGAACCAAATTCCTAAAACCACCCGCTCTCCATCTGTGAATCTTCCGCCAACTATCGGGAGCGGCCAAGAGGGGGGTGTCCAAGAGGGGGGGGTGCAAATCATGACCGGCGGCATGTGCGCGGCCTAGCGGGGGGGCAGGGACGTATTGAAACAAGAAGAGGCGCCATGAAATCTGGGGAAATATCATGGCCCACGCCATGATATCCCCCTCCCCCTAGTCATCACCCCCCTCTTTTCCGCCCCCGAAACTATGCGCGCGTTGTTCAAACGAGAACCACATTTTGAAAACCACCTGTGAAGCCGGGTTGTCCGCTGCTCGGGTTGTCTCGCGCGCGCGAGGGCTCACGCGCGCGGCTTCGGGCGAGAGCCTGTCGCTGGGTCTCCTCCTCCTCCTCCTCCTCCTCCTCCTCCTCCTCCTATCCTCCTCCTCCTCCTCCTCCTCCTCCTCCTCTCTCCTCTCTCCTCTCTCCTCTCTCCTCCTCCTCCTCCTCCTCCTCCTATCCTCCTCCTCCTCTCCTCCTCCTCCTCCTCCTCCTCCTCCTCCTTCTCCATCCGTGAAGCTCTTGTGAGCTTTGAAGCCGCTTGCGCGCGGCGCTGAAGCGAGAGCCACATCTTGAAGACCACCCGCCCTGCCTCCGTGCCGCTGCCTCAAGTCTTTAAAGGGGCCCCAGGACACATAAATGAATACACACAAATAAGAAGGTTCCCCATATTTTCCCATGTTTTCGGGGCTTCGGTCTTCCCCCCCACTTCCCATATTTTCCCATATTTTCCTGGGGATCGACGATTCATTGTGTCTGTGTGTTTTTTCCTCTCCTGAGTCTTACGCTTCAGGACCATAGGAGGCGAGGAGGTCTCGAGCGCAACGCGCGGCCCGCGCTGCCGACACACCTCGGGGTGCGACAGGGAGGAATTCTGTCATAGGGAAGAGGGACTGGCCACCGCTCGGGCGTCCATCCCCTGTGCTTTTTTCGGTTTCGTGCGTGGTTTTCTCGCCAAATGATCAAGGATGCTTCTCGATGGTCCTCGCCGGTGGAAAAATGCACACGTCCGAGCGATGCCAAGGGGCTGGAGGAGGAGGAGGAGGAGGAGGAGGAGGAGGAGGAGGAGGAGGAGGAGGAGGAGGAGGAGGAGGAGGATAGGAGGAGGAGGTCCCGATCGCCTTCTCCATGCCCTTCCTGATGGCGTGGAACGCGCTCACGATGCGGTCCGCCTGCGGCCCACTGCTCTCGGACCTGCGAAAGGGACGCCGACCACGGGCGGCGACAGTGGGCGCGGGCCGGCCTGTTGCCTCCCCTCCGCCTCTCTGGCTCTCTGTCTCTCTGCCCCTCTCTCCGCCTTCCTGTCTCGAGCGCGCCAGCCAGTGCTAGCGAGATCCCCCTCCCGCTCCTCCTCCTCCTCCTCCTCCTCCTCCAACTTTCTCCGCCCGTTTTCATCTCCTCCTCCTCCTCCTCCTCCTCCTCCTCCTCCTTCTGGGCCCGCACCAAGGGTCACCCTGGCAAAAGGTCACTTGTGCGGATCGAGCCCCGGGCCCGCCGCCTGGCCTCTTTCCTGCATAGGCCTCTCTCATGGGGTCAGAGTAGATTGAAGGGGCCCTGGGACACACAAATGAATACACACAATGAAAAATAATCCCAATATTTTCTCATATTTTCTGGGTTTTCGTCTTCCCCCCCACTTCCCATATTTTCCTATATCTTCTGGGGAGTCGACGATTAATTGTCTGTGTGTTTTTTCCCCTCCTGATAGATGTGGTCAGCTGATCGCGCGGCATCGCCAACGCGTCGCCACTGCATCGGCGATGCATCGATGAGATGTCAGCGATGCGTCGGCGCAGTTGGAGGCGCATCGGAGACGCATCGGCGACGCTGACGTGGAACAAATCGGGCCCCACGTCGAGCCGCACCGTCGATGCACGCGGTGCGGAGCGATCCTCAGACCCCATCTGCTCGGATCCCACCTGGGAGGCCCTGGATGTCTTGCCCCCCCCCTCCCTTCGCCGAGCGCGCTCCGCTTCTCGCAGAGATGCCTGCTCGCGCAAACGTCCGAACAACACCCGCCTGCTCCGATGCAGTTTTTATCGTGGATCCCCGGCGGGGGATCCAAGGCCATTTGCGAGCAGCTACTCTGCGAGCAGTGGAGCGCGCTCGTCGATCCCTGGCGGACGGCGTGAGGGAGCTCCGGCCGTCGTAGCTGGTCATCGACACGGACCTGCACGGTTTCCCCCAGGGTCGTAGGCGACCCGAGGAGGAGGAGGAGGAGGAGGAGGAGGAGGAGGAGGAGGAGGAGGAGGAGGAGGAGGAGGAGGAGGAGGAGGAGGAGGGGTCCCGGGTCGCCTAAGCCCTTCGGAGAAACCCTCCACACGGACCCCGTCTGCAGCGCGGCCCGCAGCATGCCGGAGATCGCCGCCTTGGGCCTCGCGGGGCTGCGCGGCGGGTCCTCGGGGCTCGCGTGGCTGCTCCTCGCGGCCTGGCCGGCGCTCTGGCCCTCCTGGCTGGTGGCCCTGCGGGCGGGTCGGGGGCCCACGAGGGCGGGGCAGGGAGGAGGATGAGGAGGAGGAGGAGGAGGAGGAGGAGGAGGAGGAGGAGGAGGAGGAGGAGGAGGAGGAGGAGGAGGAGGAGGAGGAGGAGGAGCCAGCAGCGATGAGGGTCGAGGCTCGTGGTGCCTATGGGGCGGGAGGTGCGGGACCACTCCCTTCCTCCGGAGCCCATCTCTCCGGTCCTTCCCCCCCCGTAGAGCTCGGCTGAGACACCCCAAGCCCTCCTCCCTGCCCGAAGAGCTGTTCGACGCGGGGGTCCCCATACGTGCACCTCTTTTCTTTTCCTGTGCTTCAATTCCAGAGCATCTGAGTATGAGTGTCTCATTCTCTGGGTCTGAGGGGCTACGTGTTAGTGAAACTGGGTGAGAGTGAGTCTGAGGATGGTTGACCAGCCAAGTGTGAGCACCGACGGGTACGAGCGAGCCTGAGATTTGAGTGCGCATGCGTACGAACGAATCTGAGCGTGAGCGGGTCTGAATCCGAGCGTCCGGCTACGGGTGAATCCGAGCGTGACCGGACATCGGTGTGGGTGCGTCTGGGCATGAGCGCCAAACTGCTGCGAGTGAGCCTGAACGTGAACCGACCTTTGCTTGTGTGAACGAATCCGAGCGCGAGTGCGTCTCGGCACAGGGCGCGAGCGGGCCCGTGATGGACCCCCTCGGCGGCTCCCCCTCTTGGGAGGCCTAAGCGCCACGCCTGCTGCACGAAGGCGATCACGGGGCTCTCGAGAGAGAAGCGTGCCAGTGGCCAGCAGGCCACTGCACCCGAGACACCTCAACACGTAGGCGCCAACGGGCCCGTGACTCAGTCAATGAGGGGACCCAAGGACACACACATTGATACACACAGCTCCCAGGATCCCCCATCTTTTTCCATAGCTGTTTGGTTCTCGCCTCCCCCCCCCCACACTTCCAAGAGTTTCCAGACTTCCTGGGGCATCGACGCTTCGCTGTGTCTGTGTGCTTTCCTCCCCTCCTGGGCCAGCCGGCACAGGAAGGATGACGAGCAGCTCTCCGAGCTTGCCCCTGCATCCCCTCCCCCTCGGCTCGTCCTGGGGGCCTCTTCCGCTGGCGGCGCCCCGCTCGCAAGGTGCCGACAAGGCCTCGTCGATGGCCAGCCGGCCGCTGGTCCTCCTCCTCCTCCTCCTCCTCCTCCTCCGCCTCCTCGAGACGTCTCGGCACGCGGGCGCGAGCGGGCCCGTGGTGTACCTCCTGGCGGCTCCCCTAGCTCCCGAACGTGAACCCACCCTCCCCCTCAGACATCGTGGGGGGTAGGGGTAGGGTTCGCATGTGGCCCCCTATCCCCCCGCCATCGGGAGGCCCGAGCGCCGTGCCCTGCCGCGCCGCGACGGTCCCCCGGGAGAGGAGAGCCAACTCCGCCAGAGGACACAGCTCGGCGGCGACGAGGGAGGCGCATGGCCCATGGGGCGGGCCTTGCACGTGCGCGCCCGGGACGAAGACGTGGAGCATCGGCGCCCCTGGATGCAGTCAACAACCCTAATAAGGACGCGCGGTAAGGACGCAAGACCCTTGGAAGCCGAAGCTGGGATTTTTGGGGCGGCGGACGACGAACACCTCAAGGACGCAAGAGCAAGGAAGAGCAAGGACGCAAGGGTACCCTGAGCAAAATCGCGTCCTTATTAGGGTTTTTGACTGTACACGTGTGTTGCTCCCCCCTGGGTTGTTCGCCCTTCTCGTCGCCCCTGAAAGGCGGCGATTCTGTCTGCGAGGTCCTGGCAACGTGGGCGAGGAAGTGCCCGTGAGACACCCAGTGGGGACTCCCCCTTGGGAGCCCTGCTGCATCGCGGTATGGGCAAGTCTGAATCTGAGTGCGCCTGAGTGAGCGACTCTTGGTCTCATCGGGTCTGGGTGCGAATGGGTCTGGGTGAAGCTGGGTGCTGGTGAGTCTTTGTCTGCGTAAGTCTGAATATGACTTGAATCTGAATCTGAAAGGATCTGACTACGACGGGCCTGGTCTGCGCGAGTCTGGGTATGAGGAGTCTGAGTCTAAGTGGGTCTGCGTCTGAGTATGATGGGACTGGGTATGACTGAGTCTGAGTTTGACTGAGTACGACTATGAGAGAGTCCGAGTCTGGGTCCGAGTATGAGCGTGTCGGGATATGGATGAATCTGAGCATGAGCGAGTCTGAGTGCGAGTGAACCTCTGAGTATGAGTGACGGAGGGAGGGGTGTGCGATTATGGTCTGAGTGTGACAAGATCTGAATATGAGTGAGCCTGGCTGGGTCTGAACGTTCAGAAGTTTAGATATGAATGGATCTGACTATCAGTGAGCCAGAGGGGATGGGGGGGGAAACGGAGGAGGCGGGGGCGCAACACTGATGACAACAGCTCCAGGCTTGGATATGAGGAACAAGCGTGGCTCTAGAAGAACCCCGCCCTCGGCTGGCGGCCACCCGTTGTGCTCGACGCTGGAGCCGAGACACAAGACGACGAGGAAAACGAGGAGACG